CATATTCACATAGAATCACAACCATGACATATTTACTACTCAATCTTAGTCTCAAATTACTCATTTCATCATAATTCTACACGTGGGCTTAAAATTCATCAAACTCACAAGTTTTCAACACATACATATCTAAATCTAAGCCCTTGACTCATTTCACCACATATATACACAACGAGTTAAGATTTCATAAAAATTACTACTCAAAACATACATGCAACCTTCTGAAAACTCATAAACAAAATTCATACTAGATTAGTTCATTACACAAACTCTGAGTTCACACAGCTTTAACAACTCTAAGCTGGCCCAGACTCTTTTTCCTTACCCTGATCATTGCTATATCATGTAAAATGTAATCACGGGGGTGAGATAAAAATCTCAGTAACAGAATAACTTACTCCTATTAACTATCACATGCAACTATATAAAAGTAAAGCATAATATACTATTTAAACCTTATTAATATAGCATATATATCACATATCTCATTTCAAATCACATCAACATAGCACATTTCACCACTTTCACTGCTTTTCACTACTTTTATAACATAAACAAGGTCTTTACTATCCGAACCTTCAAATCACCCCAACTTGAAACCATAGGCTTTCCATAGACTAATGTATACTCTTATTAACTTTGAACTCACCTTTAGTGGTAGAATTACTCGGCCAAATATGTTCTTTCTTACTTTCGGACTATAGTTTTTCCTAATACACATAATGGAGTGTCGTTGACTCTAACACTATATCACATAGACACTGAGGAGTCCTAAATCTCCAATACCATATCTCAATAGGTACTAAAAAGATCTTCTTCAACACCTCACATTAAAAGGCACTAAGGAGGTATAATTCTCTAACACTGTACCCCGTCGGGCACTAAAGAGAATATGTCATATGATCTTATCACCACCTCTCTGCTCAGGTGAACTCCCACCCCTATAGTCATGCTTTCCAAACTATTCAAGGTTCCTCATCATCACTTTACATGTTTTCTCATACATAACACATATATATACCAACCATATGAAATCACATTTTTCAATCCTTTTATCTAGTCAAAAGTCATTTCATGTAACATTCACAAAATATCATAAATCATGCTTACTTGAAAATTATTTCATACACTACATAGCATACTCACACACAGTTATAATAAATAGTTAAATAAAGAAAGTTATTTGGTATATCAACCCTTCTGTCATTAGAAAGGTTACCCATGAATTTCAATTATCACTACAACTTATCACAAGCTTCCTTTTTCTACTCATACACTTGAAAGGCCAATTTAAACACATTTGGCACATTTTAGTCATTTAGGCTATTTTGACAAAAAACACATATTTACTGCTTATGGGTATCTTCAGCCATAAATTCTTTTCCATTTATCTATTTTAAGTCTATTACTACTTAATTACTACTTAACATTACCTCAACTAGTCTCATTTTATCCAAACATTATTTTCACGCTAAAATCCTCTTGAATTAAGGTCAAATTGAGCCTACAGGTTAAAACCTATATCGTTCAGCTTTAAATCAGTTACAAAGTTCTAATTTAATTTCTGAAAACTCTTTTATTACTATTGGGCAAGAATTAAATCCCTTAAATTTCACCAATTTAATTTCTCTATAACTCATATTTAAAGAAATTTGGGTAGAATGGAAGGTAAAGATTATACGTAGCTTACCCACTAGATTATCAATTAGAAGCACCTTCCACCACTCCAAAATAGCTTGCCCTAGTATACCTCAGCTATCTCTCCTCTCCTTTCATGAGTTTTCATATTCTTCCTTCTGAAAATCAGCCAAAATTCACAATTTAAAGGGTTATTTTCTAATCCATGAGCCGCGGCACGTGCAACATAAGCTGCGGCACGTGGCATAGCGAGAACAATTCTCATCACGCACATTTGCTTCAACTCGAAACACTATCTTTCCACTCGTATCTGTTTATTTAACATCCCAATAAGCCAAATCATCAACTAATCATCCAAGTCTCTAATTACCACTTTACCCTTGATGAGCAGTTAATCATGGGATTAAGAAATTCAAGATGTTATAGTGATCAATAGAAGAACATATATAATCGTTTGTGCCACTACCAATGATTCAGGAAGATGAATGGCGTTTAGAGGAAAGTAAATGAGAAATACTTCGTGTTAAAGATGCATTGAAAAAAGGAGTGGAAGGAGAGGTAATCATAAGATTAACTTGTGTTGTAGGAGTTGATGAAGTAGCAGGTGCAAGGGTTTGCACAAGAGTAAGAAGCCTATCGCATTAATCCCAAGTGAACGACAAAGAGGTACAGAAGCATTCAGAGTAGTCATAATGGTGGAAGATAGAATGATGGGTTCGCGTGCCAAGCGGCTCCAAAAGCACCAAAAAAAGCAAAGGGGGAAAAAAATATAAAAAGAAATTCATTGGCTTTCGTACCATAATACAATTTGTAAAAATAATAACTTATTTTATTAATTCCACTATAAGATATATATTATACAAAAGAAAAAAAGATGATTTATCAAGATTTATTAGAAAATAAAATAAAGATCTATTATAGAATAAAATATTAACAGGAAATAAAATAATTATAACCATCCTAATTATAGTCATACAAAATAATATATATAATCAAAAATTTAATATTACCCTATGTTAGTCTTTTTTAGTAAACCCCATCCCGTTGGTATTGACTGTTGTCACAAACAAATTTCACACCAAGAAATAGAGGATGAGAATTGAAAGAAGGTGAGATTACAGGCTCACTAACACCTATCAAGAACCTATCGAAGAACTTGAGCATTTGCATTCATTCTCCATTATCGTATAACAAACAAACTTAACAACTGGCTTCGATGACGATTAGGAACTGAATTTCAATGCCTTTCATTGAGAAATAACTGCCAATAATGAAGAAGATGCAAGAAATTAAAGGCAAAATGGGTTTAGGTGTTCTCTTCATGTCAAGCGTGTGGGACCTTTTTTTTTTTAACTTCATTTTCCCTTTCAAATTGTGGACAATCTAGTAATTTAACATAAAAATTATTTACATTGACGGTACTAGGGACTACAGAGTATTTCAACTGTTCCATGAGATTTAAGAGTATTTACTATCTTTCTTTTTTGTTACTTGACCATGTGAAGTTTGGCTCATTCTGTGTTGGGCTTCTATTAATCCAGGTAGTTTGCAGGCATTGCTTAAATGATTCATCTAAAATTGAAACAAACTAATGGGCATTGGTCTTAGTAGAAAGGATTACAATCACTTAAACATGATGTCAAGTTTAAGTTTGTGCAGATGCAAAAACCTGTTTTTGAAAGAGCTACCTCTAATTGGGCCCAAAAATGCTCAAATTTGACTCAGTTAAATAGAAATTGAATATTAACCCAAATTACTTTTATCCTTTAGAAATAAAAATTTGATCGAAATCCCTTATTGAAAGCCAAGGATCAACCTTTTTCATTCTATTCCAATTCCATATTCCATAGTAGATGTCTATCTTGTGTTGTGCTCTATGTGTCCCATAAATATAAGAGGTGTAAAAAGATCAAACCACAATTTGCATTGATATGGAGATGTACATGATCGTTCTTTGGGTTTCATAAAAGAGCCTAAATTTAATATTTTATAATTAAGGTAAAATTCACATAAAATTGTGTTATGTTCTAATTTAAGTTATCTATTAGTTAAAGCAAATAAATAAAGCAACATTTTCCCCCCAAATAACATAACTTCTTTTAAATGATTTAATTATTGTTTTTAAATATAAAAATAAAAATAATTTTTTTAAGAAATTTAAAAAATTCTAATATAAAATTAAATAAAGGATAAAATATAAATTATTATGTAGCCAATTTTCTTTTATTAAAAATACCACCTCTTATCCCCAAGAAAATACGCTTAAGAACAAGGCCGTGCGTGTGTGTGTGAATTGTGTGTGTGATTTTGTATATGTAAAAATAATTATTATTTATCATAATAAATATATATAGAATAAGCCAAGGGTATCTTAAATTAATGTATTTATCTTTTATTTTGTCAGTTATTGTGTTATAACGTTTCTTTTTTATTGATTTTTCAAGTATGAATGATAAATTATTTTAACTTTCAAAATTATTTTTATTCATTCTCATAAAACATTTTTTATTATTTTATGTACTATATGAACTTTAAAAGCGTAACAAATATTTAAAAAATAGTATAAAATGAGTTACATGCAAAAGAATAAATGAAAATTTACCTTCTCAAAATAAATAATTTTTTCAACATTAAGTTTGAAAAGACCACATATTTAGCGGTAAAAACAAAAACAAAAATAGGAAATAAAAGAAAGAAAAGATCACATTGGAAATAATATGGGGTGATTTTGCGCCAGGTCATGGTTTATAAAATGTACGTGCATGTTCACTGTATAGGATCACACATGCCTTGATGCAAATTGATTTGTGCTTCATTCATGTCACAAGGCAATATTTGTCCTATAGTTTTAAAATGTTTTGATACAAGTCCTTCTACTTCTATTTTCATTGTTCCAAGTTCTTCTGACTCTTTCTACCTTTAAGTATACTTAAAGAGACAATGATACGATACTAATGGTGTTAAATATACTGACCTATCCTTAATAGTGTTAGTGAAAATGCTAAAGTGTTGAAATTTTGATGTGGTGGCATGCTAAAGTAGTTGCTTTCTTTCATTTGACCAAGCAAGCTTTGTTTTTTTTTTTTTTATTCTATTGGACATAAGTTTTGGTGTCTTTTGAGATTTTAACACTTCAACATCTTCTTTAATATTATTAATGGTAGGTCGTTATATTTAACATCATTAGTATCATATCATCGTTCTTAACATATTTAAAAATAAAAGGATGAAGGTTACAGATGGAAAAAACTAGAGGGATCTGAAACATCACCAAAAAAAGTATAGAGATCTATACTAAACAAACATTAAAATTATAGGGACTAATAATTATATTTTTCCTAAAAGATAAAACGAAAGACACATTACATAAATGTTTTTGATATTTCATTGTCATAAGATTAACTCATCATATAGTTCAATGTTTTTCAATGAAGAACATAATGGTGGTAATCACATAAAACATAACCTAATGATATGTCTTGTGCCATAATAAAAATATATATGCATAATTTTTATTTGTTGGCACAGAATGGTATAAATCTATTATTTACACAACTTGTTATGGAAGAACTACTGAGTTTTCAAATGATTTTGGCTATCCCCAGCAGCAACTCTGCTAGTAAGTGAAGGTCTCATTGTGACAATGGCAGATTCATTGGCACCTGCTCTGAGAGCTGCCTTTCCAGCTTCCAGGAACCTCTTCACTGCATCTTCAACATACCTGTTTGCTTCTTCGACATTCATGGTTTTCCCAATATCTGGATAGGTTTTGAGCACATAATCGCCGTTGAGCTGCGATGCCAGCTGGATTAGCTCAACCTGGAATTCTGAGAGCTCTTTGTCTCCTCTGGGTCCCCATGGCCTCAGTGATCTCTTCACCTCAGGGAGCTTTTCTGAAAAGTCATTGAGGAAACTGTTGAAACTTGAAACATAATTGCTGTATTATTGAAAAAGAAAGGCAGAGAACTTTGTATCCTGGACAAATTCTTAGATGAATCGTGTTCACAAAAGATAGCACATTTTGATTTTTATTTTTTAAAAAAGATAAGTACCAAATTGAATGGTGAGTGATCTAAGTCTGCTCACTCAATAAGTATCTTAACGTGATACGTTTGATTTAATCAAATGATTATAAAAGATTTTATAGCCGGTCCCAAGCTCGGGTAAAGGAGGAGGGTTGTGTTAGGCCATCAACAGCCAATGTAAAAATTTGTTGAATCTATCATGAACATGGACAATAGACGTTATAATGTTAATGCTAGGTCGTTGCCCGTAAGTAACGCGCTGCATGGCTCGAGTACAGTGATAAGTGAGTTAGAGCCGCTGCATCGGCGCCCGGATGTAGTGTTAAATGAGCAAGGGCTACCGCGTCATTCTGGACGCACGCGGCTAAAGAAGTTAGTCCATAAGAGCAAAATTAGATTTGGTACTTGGAATGTTGGGACATTAAATTGTAAATCTGTAGAGGTTGTAGGGGTTATGATTCAAAGGAAAATCAATATCCTTTGCTTGCAAGAAACAAAATGGCGTGGAGAAGAAGCTAAGGATATTCAAGGTTTCAAACTTTGGTATACAGGAAAAGTAAGTGCACGCAATGGAGTAGGCATCATTATAGATAAGGAGTGGAAGAAGAACGTTGTAGAAGTTAGCAGAATTGGAGACAGAATTATTTCTTTAAAAATGATAATTGGACGTGAGACTGTTAATATTGTTAGCGCTTATGCGCCGCAAGTCGGGACAGAAGCCAGTCTTAAGGAATTATTTTGGGAGGATCTGGAGGGGTTGATTCGACACATACCACAGAGTGAAAAGATTTTTATTGGAGGAGACTTTAATGGGCATGTCGGGAGGGAAGCTGGTCAGTATGCGAGGGTGCATGGTGGTTTTGGTTTTGGAGAGCTAAACAATGAAGGGCAAACTCTTCTTGATTTCTCATTGGCGTATGATTTTAAGATTGCCAACACTTGTTTCAAGAAGAGAGATGAGCATCTCATCACCTACAAAAGTGGAACCTCAAGGTCGCAGATTGATTTTCTTTTGGTTAGGAACACAGATAGAAAACTTTGTAAAAATTGTAAGGTGATCCCTGGAGATGCTGTAACGACACAACATAGGGTCCTAGTCCTTGATGTGTGTATTATGAGTAAAATCCAAAAACGTCGACAAGTAGTAACACCAAGGATTAGGTGGTGGCAATTAAAAGGTGAGAAGCAAGATATTTTCAAGCGAAATCTTTTGGATAAAGGAATTTGGGATTCTCAGGGAAGTGCTAACATCATATGGGAGGATATGGCTAAAAAGATACGGGAGGTTGCAAAAGTAGTTTTGGGAGAATCGAAAGGTCCTGGTCCGAGAGATAAGGAGTCTTGGTGGTGGAATAATAGTGTACAGGACAAAATCAAGTATAAGAAGAACTGTTTTAAAGCCATACATTTGTGTAACAATGAGGAAAATTGGGAGAGGTACCGTATGGCTAAGAAGGAAACTAAGAGAGCTGTGGGTGAAGCTCGTTCTAAAGCTTTTGAAGAATTTTATAAGAACCTTGAGACGAAGGAAGGAGAGCAAAATATTTATAAGATTGCCAAGAGTAGGGAAAGAAAATCAAGAGATCTAGAACAGGTAAGGTGTATTAAGGATGAAGAGGGAAGAATTTTAGTTACAGATGATGAAATTAAAAATAGATGGGAGACTTATTTTTCTAAACTTTTCAATGATGGAGAGGATTCATCTAGTAACTTGGAGGATTTAGTAACTGGTGAAGGAGAACAAAATTTGTCATTCTATCGAAAAATACGTGATAAGGAGGTAAAGGAAGCTCTTAAGAAAATGGCAAATGGTAGAGCTAACGGACCTGATTGTATATCTATCGAAGCGTGGAAATGTTTAGGTGAAGAAGGGGTGAGATGGTTAACTAAGTTATTTAATGTGATTTTACGGTCCAAGAAAATGCCTGATGAGTGGAGGAGAAGTACATTAATTCCTATTTATAAAAATAAAGGAGATATTCAGAATTGTACTAACTATAGAGGGATTAAACTCATGAGCCACACAATGAAATTGTGGGAGAAAGTAATTGAGCACAGGTTGAGATTGGAGACAAGTATTTCTGAGAATCAATTTGGTTTTATGCCAGGTAGATCAACTACAGAGGCGATTTATCTACTAAGGGGATTAATGGAAAAGTATCGTTGTAAAGATAAAGATCTACACATGGTTTTTATTGATTTGGAAAAAGCTTATGACCGTATACCAAGAGAAGTGCTTTGGAAAGCGTTGGAAAAAAAGGGAGTACGGATTGCTTATATTAAAGCCATACAAGATATGTATGAGGGGGTAAAAACTAGTATAAGAACGCCTAGTGGTCAAACAAAGGATTTTCCTATAAAGATTGGGCTACATCAGGGATCATCTCTGAGTCCTTATTTGTTCAACTTGATTTTAAATGTTTTGACGGAACATATTCAAGAGGAAATCCCGAAATGTATGCTCTTCGCGGATGATATAGTTCTTATAGCAGAGACAAGAGAAGAGGTTAATTGCAAACTTGAGTTATGGAGGAGGACATTGGAGTCGAAAGGTTTTCGTCTGAGTAGAAGTAAGACGGAATATTTATATTGTAAATTTGATAAAGGACTATTCGAAAATAATTTGGAAGTGAAATTGGGAGATCAAATTATACCTCAAGTGGAAAAGTTTAGATATTTGGGAGCCATTATCCAAAATGATGGCGAAATCAGTGGAGATATTTCACATAGAATTCAAGCTGGGTGGTTTAATTGGAGAAAAGCTAAAGGAGTTATTTGTGACCGTAAGGTGCCTAATAAACTTAAAGGAAAGTTTTATCGTACTGCTATCAGACCGGCAATGTTATATAGTAGTGAATGCTGGGCTCTAACGGGACAGCAAGAGCATAAAGTTGGAGTAGCAGAGATGAGAATGTTACGATGGATGTGCGGACATACACGTAAAGATAAAATTCGAAATGAGCACATACGTGAAAAAGTGAGGGTGGCACCTATTGAGGAAAAAATGGTAGAAAATCGGTTGAGATGGTTTGGGCATGTACAAAGAAGACCAAGGGAGGCACCAGTGAGAAGAGTGGAACATATAACTTTGAGTCCGATTAAGAGAGGTAGAGGAAGGCCTAAGAGAACACTCTTGGAAGTTGTTGAACGTGATCTCTTAATTAATAATATTTCTAAAAGCTTAATAAATGATAGAGCACAATGGCGTCTTGCAATCCATGTAGCCGACCCCACCTAGTGGGATAAAGGCTTGTTGTTGTTGTTGTTGTTGTTGTATTATAAAAGATTTTGTCATATGATATTCAAAAAGTATTAAATTTCAAATTTTTGAAGGGGATAATAGATGTGAGGAGTGTTTTGATTATAATGATTGTTTTGAATTTTTAAAGGAAAATGCATCTTCATTATTTTCAAGTATAGATGAAATCTAATGGTTGTAACTGAGATACTCATTTACTGAGTAGACTTAGGCTACTCGCCGAATTTAAATCCGTATTTATTTAAGCATGTTAGACACACTTCTGGGTAAATCTTACCTCTTAACAGCATGATAGATTTGCTTTACCCACCTTGTAAGTTCACAAATCTTAACTCTTAACATTCATGTTTTATCCACATACCAGAGGAAAATCCTACCAAAGCCCCCCCTTCTCTCTCTCTAAACTTCAGGTCAAATGAACTTCAGTGGATTGGACTAATTTAAGACGGACACAGAAGTGGAAACTTATAATGTCCCGTTACAGTAAGGAAAAGAGAAGCCAGAAATTTCTACAATAGTGCGCTTAATGCCTACCCAAGGACAATATTAAGCTTCCGGCCGTTGGAGAACGAGGTCAAGATCAATGAAAAACTAAAATATGGAGATGCTTGGGAATATATAACATATTGGAACAGTATGCACAAGGATCTTGAGCTCTACAAAAGTTGCAGATAAATATTCAATGTTTCTAGGTGGTCAAAAAAAAAAAATATTCAATGTTTCTAGACATGATTTTAAGTTCGTTATGAACACCAAAATATTCAATGTTTCTAGACATGACTTTGAAGTTCATTATGAGAACCAAAACATATAATGACACATCAATAAGTCTGAACAGCAGAGAGGGTTACTTAAAGGCAAATTAAAGGACCAGAGTCATGGGTTCTCTCTAGATCATAGCAATCAAGAAAACAGATGCAATGCAAACCTGGACAATCATCACGAGGAGTATCTCGAATGTGAAGGTATTTCTCAAAGGTACCAGCCCATGCATCTCTCTTTGTCAAGAAATTAGATTTCAGATTGAAAAGTTTCTTCACTGTGGCAGGAATAGAAGAGTGTTCAAACTGGGAACTTGGTGTTGGCCCATCTGGTTCATGAATCACTGCAACAAAAAACCGAGCCAGCCTGTGCTTAGGAAGCCTCCAAGTAACCAATGGCAAATTACACAACAAATTAAATCTCTTAAATTTGGTTCATATGGGGACCAGTAACAGGCAAATTAGTTGGTGACATTCATGATCTAGCATACAGTACGGTCACTTCCTAAATATCTACTTTCACTTCTGGTGATGATGAGACTTTCTTACCCAGATCAGATGTGACAGCATAAGTACACCGAGCTGAAATTACAATGAACTAGTAGTTTTTTTAGGAAGGAACTAGTAGGCTTTTTTTCTTAACTCTCCCGAGCCAAAGAACGAAGCTTACAAAGGGAAGAAAATCAGCAAGAGTCTTAAGGATTAAGCAGTAAACTTCAAAGTTTACCAATGATCACAAATGTTATATCAGTCTCTCAAGTTAAGGGCCATTATTTAAAGCGTTAGAAATTTGAAACAGTTTCTCAGTGCTGATACAAAGTAAAGAATTAAGAGTGAAACAAAAAAAAAAAAAAAACAAAAAACAGAGAGTAAAGAATTAAGAGAGAACTATAGACAATAGTAACCAAAGAGAATTCCCAACCTGAAGTTTAAAATTTTGTATGTCACTCTGAAGTCAAAATACCAAAAACAAAAAAACAAAAAAAAAAAAAAAATCCACTAGCAGAAGGAAAACAGCATTAGAAAGCATACAAAACTTAAGTGTAGGCCAAAAGTGACTATAGAAAGACAAAAATGTCAGATCGCAGAGTTATATAACATATATGTCCTAAAATCAGCATAATCATATTCATGCAATCGGACAAACCAAAGCATTAGTACCATTTTGGGCACTTTCAAATAAGCTTGTAAATAAACGCAGGTTTTGAAGTCATTAACAAACAATCAACAAGAAACCAAAAGCACTATATTGCCCTTATAAGTGCCAAAAGATCAAATTTGTGCTCTTAGCACTCCCATGATTAGCAGAGATTAAGAAACCATAAAACACATAAAAGCAGTTATAGAATTGAAAAGCAATCCCAGAATAAGGAAAAAAACGAAGCACTGACACTTACCAGTACCCTTATCGATCCATGGTGAGATCAGAAAAGTCGGGACCCGAACTCCAAGCCGGTCAAACCGAAAGTAATAAGGGTCAACATGGCCAATAATACCATCTGGGTTGGGTACACCAGAAACAGGGGTAGGCACATGGTCATAGAACCCACCATGTTCGTCATATGTAATCAATAAGGCCATCTCTTTCCACTGAGGACTAGCTCTCAGTGTCTCATAGACTTCCTTCACGAACTTCTGCCCAATAGCCACATCATGCGACGGATGATCGTCATTGGCCGGAAAGAGGTTCACATCGAAGTAACGCTGCTCAATGACCACGTAATTCGGAAGCTTGCCCAATCTGGCATGCAATTTGAACTTTAAAGCGTAGTTATGGAACTTGATGACGTGCTTGAGCTTCCGCAGGCTCTTGAAGAACAAGGTCGCGGGGATATTCTGGTAATAAATACCAAATGAGAGGCCACTTTCTTCCAGAGAGTCGAATATGGTTTTCTGAGGAAATCCATGTACCAGGTCCTTACGAACGTTGCTCATGGCACCATGGGAGGTCGCCGAGTGCACGTAGAACCGGTTCGGCTGAGTTGACGTAGGACACGAAGCGAACCATCTATTGAACACGGCGAATTCGTTAGCAAACTCTCTATAAACCGGCAAGAGTTCCGGTTTGAATCCGCTCATGACGGTTTTCGACATTCCCTTTTGCATACTCTCTGCCTGCTGAGCAAAACCATTCATCGGAGCCGGATTCGCTGAGCTATCATTCGATCCGAATATTTGTTCCCTTATGGCCTGAAATGAGTGCCCCGGATCGGAATCAACGAACAGAGAAGCATCGGAGACGTGGACCTCCGGCGAGTTCGGGTCAGAGACGGATACACGGTTCGATTCGGTGCCGGTCAGACCGTCGATGTCGGGTCGGGTCCGTTTGAGCCATCCCAATATGTGGTCGAACGATCGGTTTTCCATCACGATGACGACCACGGTTTTGATGGGTCCATCGATTTTGCGCTTCCTTTTGCCGAAGCCATTGACATCAATGCCATGGGATGAGACCAAGAGGTAAAGGAAGAAGAAAAGGGTCAAACGAACTTGCCGGAGACTCATCTCCGGCAGCCGGAGATTCAGAGAAAAAGTGAAGCTGGACAAAAGATTCGTTTCACCGAGCGAGAAGTACAAGCAAATTGAGAAGGAAGCTTAATGTCAACAATAATGACTAGGTACCAGGCTACCAACCATGAGAATTACATGCGCTATATTCTTTTCAGATTATTTATCCATTTTATTTTGAAAATTCAAAATTTACTCTTCCTTTCTTTTGCTTTTTAAAAGGGACAACCACATGTAAGAATCTCTCAAAAAATTATTTATAAATAAATATTAATGACAAGTCTCACTTAAAAAAAATAAATCATGTTTTTATTTTAACACAAATTTATTTTGTATTAATTTTTATTTATAATTAATTTTTTTAAAGGTTCCTTAAATGTGATTCTCTCCAAAAAAAAATCATTTTAGAAGCATGAAATTTTTATTAAAAAAATTAATTTTTTTAATCCTTATAGTTTTAATTTAATTATAACTCAATCTGTAAACTTTGACTTGTTATAATTTAATTCCTAAAATTTTGATTCAATTATAAATTAATCCCTGAACTTTATCTCTTGTAATTTAATCCCTAAAGTTTTAACTTCTTAAATATTAATTCTTATATTTTAAAAAATAAAATTATAAAGATTAAAAATATTTTAAAATTTATTATTAATATTTTAAATTATTAAACCGTTTTAATCTTTGTAAATATCAAAAATATTAAAAATTTTAATGTTTATAAATTTATTTTTTAAAATATAAGAACTAATATTTAAGAGGTTGAAATTTTAGGGACTAAGTTGTAAGAGACAAAGTTCGGGACTGATTTATAACTAAATCAAAACTTTAGGAATTAAATTATAACGAATTAAAATTGAGGAATTGCATTATAATTGAATTAAAATTATAAAAATTAAATGATTAATTTTTTTTATTATGATATTAAAAACATATCTAATGGCTTATTGTTAAGTAAAACAAATATTTTTTCTCTTCTGAAAAGTCAATTGTTGCTACATTAAAAAAGAATTTTTTTATTTTTTTTCTCAACTTTTCTTTTTGAGGGTTAACATTCAAAATATTAAAAAAAGGGTGCAAAATCTAAAAGTCCAAGTCCATAAGATGTGATTTTCCTGGGTAATGTCATCTCTGACTTTTTGTGTGTTCGAGAATGCTTTATCTTTTTCTTCGTAATCTTTTGTAGCAAAAATTTTGTCCAATAGTATATTCTTCTACAGTCGGCAAACAAAAACTATCATGATATGAAGAAATTCAAAGTCCATCGAGTTTTAGTGGTAACCATAATAGTTACGTAAATCGAATTAAGATCATATGATATAAAGAAATCCAAAGTCCAACGAGTTTTAGTGGTAACCATAAGAGATACGTAAATCGAATTAAGTTCATATGAAATCAGATTTTTATGAAATAGATAATAATAGTGATAATGTGGAGGAATAATGATGAATAAAGTTGTTAAACTCACGAATTTAAATAAATTTATAATAAAAATATAAATTCAAATCTTAAAATCTTAACAGTTTCTTTATTAATAAATAATTTTTAAAAATATATAATTAAATAATTAAAATACAACATATGATCATAATTTAATTTGAATATATTTTATGTATAAATCATTAAAATTAAATCTATTTATATTTATAAAATATTATACTCAATATAAATATTTCAAAATATGATTACTTATTTTTATATATTTTTTATTTTTTATTAATATTAATTTTTTTTGTTTTATTTTTCATTGAATTAAATCCCACTGCTTTTATGAATAAGTTTCACATAGTATATATATATTTTGTTCAGCAAGTTTATAAACGGATTGACATGATTTTATAAGTTAAAAATATAAAAATAATAAATTTAAAAAATCAATTTTTGAATGTAACTAAGTTTTATCTTGTCCTAATTTATAAATGAATTAGTATAATTTTATAAATTAAAAATATAAAAATAATAAACTCACAAAGTTGATTGGAGAGTTTGATAACAATAGTATAAATGCTTTTGGTTTGTGAGTTTGATAATAATTTGCAGCAGTATAAGTCCTTTTCTTGGAAATTAGTTTGTGGACACCGTGTCACATAAATAAAAAAATTAAAATTGTTTACATTTTTATTTTAATATAAAATAAATATCCATCAGTATCGTTTCCTCCAAAATTGACCTTTCCTTTGGATTTTTCTGCATTACTCAAATTTCATTCGTCTATACGCCTTATTGCGTTATTGTGGGCCCCCTTTTTCACTGATTTTCAATTTTAAATGAGGAATATTATTAAAATTTTGAGTCCTTAGAATTATTCTTAGTTATTAATTTAATTTTACAAGTTTAATCTTTTTATCAATTTAATTTATTATATTTCTTAAATTATTATATTAATCCTTTAAATTTAAAAACACAAATTATCTTTTAAATTAATATAATATGTAAAGTATTTTGATAATTTAGTATGTATATACAATTAAATGAAAACAAATTAGCTTTTAAATCAATTTAATTTTTATTAATATAGTCACGAATATTTTATTTTCTTTTGTTTTTATTTTTAAAAATTTAAAATTTTATTTTTTACATAAACAATTATCCTTTTAATTAATATATTTAACTGCTATTGATTTATTATTATCTATGTCATGAAATTGCATGGAAGTTTGGAAGGCCATTATATTTTGTTGTTTGGTTTATGTGTCTGTCTTTTCTTTTTTTTGTGGTTTTGTTTCTGGTTTGTTTGTTTGTTTGTTTTTTTTAACTATGAGTCTATTTGTGTTTGCCTTTCTGCCTGGAAGATTTGTTCATTAATCTTCTAGGTCTGGAAGATTTGTTCATTACTTTTCCAGGTCTTTTGTATTGCAATCGTTTTATTTTAATAAATTCACTTTTGTTCCAAAAAAAATAGATAATATTGCCTTCTTTTAAATAATAAATACCAAATTAATAATTAAAATTTTTTTAAAAGAATAAATTAATAAAAATTAAATTTAAGGGTTCAAATTTATAATTGAGCCAAGTTTGAAGGACTAAAATTGTCATTTTCCCTTTCATTATCATTATCAATATTCTAAGGAAAAATCTCAATCAAAAACCACTAAACCATATTTATTATTATGCAAGACCAAATATTTCTAATATTGCTCTGAAGGACCCAAGAACAAAAATGTAATTGAAATTTATTGTGAAAAGATATACTCTTTAAACAATATGTCCCTATTCTGAAAAAAGAAGTCTTATTTTTATTTTAAAAACAATCAATTTTTCTCATGAACAACTCTAGACATGGTGGTAAAGATAAATATGTGTTGTGATTTAGTAAACAAGTTCCTATTCAAGAAAAATAAGTCTCATTTCATTTTAATAATAATCAATTTATTCATTAACAACACCAAAATATTAACTTGATGGTAGAGACTAAATATTGTGATCCAGTGAAAATTCTGATTTAAAAAAAAAGTTAAGTTTTATTTTTATTTTAACGATAATTAATTTCTCAAATACAACACCACACACACAATTAAATTTTAGTTATATTTAAGTCTCTTGGTCATGCAGAGCAAAATCAAAATTATTGGATCTTGGGAAGCAATAAATGTTGCACGATAGTCTTGGTTGTGATTTTCCATATTTCAATATCATCTTATATCATAAAATTAACACTCTGTTATGAATTATACAGGTGGTAACTCAATTTTAAGACTCTAAATAACGTAATATATTCTAAACATATGTCTTATATGGTTCAAATAAAAAAATTATTAAAGTTAAGTTATGGGAAATAAGCAATTTAAAATTGTTAAACATTTTTATAAATTACAATAAAATGAATACAAATGAAAAATAATTTTTCTTTTTGTTATCCAAAGAGACAAACATGTGAAATAACTTTTCTGATTACTTACAGTATCTTCCTATTTAAAGAAATCATGTTTAAGGTATAATTAAATATTAAATATGGACATTCTGATGTAAAATAATAACTTTTTACATCTAAAGCATGTTGGAATTTCTCTGGGAGGTATCTTGATAATAGTATATAATTTTGACTTATTACTGCATTGTATAATTGTATGGAATTTTTTTCTGATTTAAAATATTAAAATTAATTAAACTATTAAAATTAATTAAACTGGTACTATTTTTATTTTTAAAGGTTGATAAATAAACCTATTCGTATTGAAGTTGACCTGGTCAATTCAATCTAAATATCAAATCAAACTCAATGGCATTCAAAGTGCAGTTAAAGAAACTGGAAGCATCTTTAAAGTATCTTATAGGACCAAATGGCATATTCTTTCTTATGCTTTTGGTTGATGGCTGCATTTCATACACTTTCTTCACTGCCAGAATATAAGCCACTCAATTTAACTTGCTTTTCCAAACAGGTAAGGCGTGGTGCCATCTTTTTTTTTTCAATCTTATTTAATTTAATATTTTAATTTAGGCAAATGAGCAAAATACTCCCTAAACTTTATATCTAGAAGCATTATAGATACTAAACTTTTTTATTGTACAAATTATTCTATTAATTTTTAAAAATAATACAATATGACCCTTGTTGTTAATAAAAGTTAATTTTAACTATTAGTTGATCGAAAAATGACATTAATTTTTGGCCCTTTTCTATAATTTTCTTGGTCCTTGTCTATTTTTTTTGGGTTCTTTATTGTAATGTTTTGGTTTTCTCATAATTTTTAAAGTTTTTTCTGTCATTTTTTTATTAATTAACAGACAAAATTAACTTTTGTTAATAGCAAAGGCCAAATTATATTATTTTCAAAATTTGATGGAATAATTTATATAGTAAATAAGTAAAGGATCCATGGTGCTACTTGACCAAATGTTGAGGGGGTAATTTGCTTATTTACCCTTTTAATTTTAACAAAGATATATAGGTTGTTTAATTTATTTCTTCTATGTTGGACATAATAATTTATGACATTATGTTTAATATAAATTTTGATGATAAGAAATACTAGAGAAATTAAACTATAGTGATACTTAATTGTTTTCATAAATATAATAATTAATAGTTAATTATAACTATAGAACAAGTGGCTTAAAAGTATATAGTAGTTAATGATAGTTAGATCTCAAAATTTTGAATTCATTATGATAGTTAAA